CTCCGAGTACAAGTACTACCTGAGCAGCGCCGTCGACGTCGAGGTGACCTTCCTCCTCTCGTATGTGGACATGCCTCCGCAGCAGCTGCTGCAGCATGACAAGCCCACCGGCGACGAGCTCTTCCACGCGCCCGAGCTCGTGCAAGCCATGGGCTCGGCGTCCGAGCTCCAAAACTCGGCGATGAACGAGCTCTTTGTGAGCGCGCAGATCTTTGCCGACGGGCTGCCGATGCATACGATGCCGATCTGCACCAAGAGCCCGAGCAAGGTCAGCGCGTCGTGCTTGTACTGGAACGAGTGGATCACGCTGCCCGTCAAGTTTCGCGACCTCCCGCGCAATGCGGTCATTGCGCTCACGATCTGGGGCGTCGGCGAAGTGCCCGTCGGTGGCACGACCGTGCCCCTCTTTGGCCGCAACGGCCTCCTCAAGGACGGCGCGCTCTGCCTCCGTGTCTGGCCGCGCGTCGCCGCCGACCCGGACGTGCTCACGACGACGCCGTCCGACTACGAGCACGACAACCAAGCCGAGATTGTCACGCGGCAAATGGAGTGCTTTCGCCTCGACAAGCTCAAGGAGCGCTACGACCGCCACGAGATGCTCCGCCTCGACTGGGTCGACCGCATCACGAACCGCCGCATTGCGCGCATGCGCAGCAACGCCGAGTGCCCGGGCCCGAAGGAAGAATTTCCGTCGTACATTCATGTACGCAACGACCCCTGCCTCTGGATCGACCTCCCGTACTTTGGCCACCCCGTCGTGTACGAAGAAGAGCCGTACCCAATCCGGAATGCCAACCTCTACGGCGACGCAGCGACGCGGCCGCCCGCATCGCTCGCCGGCGAGACGCCAGCGGCGCATCCCCGGTCGCTGAGCCGCATTGGTAGATGGTGCTTTGCTTCTTTCTGTATCTGACAATATGGAATAGATAACACGACCGACTCGGCCCTTGTTGCTGTGTGGGACCCGGACCTCGCCGAGGACAACCCGGCCGAGCGCAAGTACCGCAAGCTCGCACGTGACATTCTCCGCGGGTCCATTGACCCGAATCTGAAGCCGAACCGCGAGGAAAAGTTTCGTATCGACAAGCTCCTCGGGTCGTCGAGCGACCACCTCAAGAACGACGAGAAGGACTTGCTGTGGAAGTTCCGGTACACGCTCGTCGAGAACCGCAAGGCGATCGTCAAGTTCCTTCTGAGTGTCGACTGGCTCGACGAGACCGAGGTGACGCTCACGTCCGAGCTGCTCACGGCGTGGACCGAGATCGACGTGGCCGATGCGCTCAAGCTGCTCGGTCCGCGCAAGGAGTTTCGGAGCGACCTCGTGCGTCATTTTGCAGTCGCGGCGCTCGACAAAGCACGCAACGAAGAGCTCCTGGACTTTCTTTTGCAGCTCGTGCAGGCGCTGCGGTACGAACGCCGCCACGAGGCGTCGCTCGGGCCGCTGGCGCGCTTCCTCATTTCGCGCGCGTGCAAGCACTTCAAGATGGCCAACTTTTTTTACTGGTACCTCCAAGTCGAGGTCTCGGACGTCCGCGACGGCGACATGTTTACGCGCATTCTGGAGCGCATGCTCTCGCAGATGCGCGAGTCGGACGACGGTGTCGCGATTCTCAACATGCTCCAGACGCAGAACGAGTACATGAACCGTATCATGGCACTGCACTTGCGCGCCCGCGACGAAAAAGGCAAGAAGGATGCGAAAGAAGAGAAGCTCAAGCAGTACCTCAAGCAAATGGTGTGGCCCAAAGGCGTCCACATTCGACTGCCGCTGGACCCGTCGATCCATCTCTCGGGCATCGTGCCGACGTCAGCCAAGATGTTCAAGAGCGCGATGTACCCATGCGTGCTGGACTTTACCACGGTCCTCGTCGAAGCCGACGTGGCTGAGGTTGCGCATCGGGTTGCATTCCTTGTCGCTGACATAAGCTTGCGTAGGACACGGAAGCCACGTCGCTGCGCGAGTCGCTGAGTGTGCTCAACTCGGGCCCGTCGTCGTTTACGGCGCCGCCGCCGCTCACGTCCATGACGTCGAATCGCTTTCTGGGCTTGCGTCGGGACAAGGACGGACCCGCGTACAAGGTCATGATCAAGAATGGCGACGATTTGCGCCAGGACCAGCTCGTCATGCAGATGTTTAGCCTCATGGACCGGCTGCTCAAAAAAGTGAATCTGGACCTGAAGCTCGTGTCGTACCAGATTCTGGCCACGTCGCCGTCCGCGGGCCTCATGATGTTTGTCAACGATTCGTATCCGGTGTCGGGCGTCATCTCCAACTACAAGACGATCCAAGCCTTCCTTCGCGCGCACAACCCAGACCCGAGCGGATACGAAGGCATTGCGCTCGAGGCCATCAACACGTACGTGCGGTCGCTCGCGGGCTCGTGCGTCTTTTCGTACATCCTTGGTATTGGCGACCGGCACTTGGAGAACGTCATGATGAAGAGCCAAGGCCACCTCTTCCACATCGACTTTGGCTTTATCTTTGGCGCTGACCCCAAGCCGTTCCCGCCGCCCTTCAAGCTCACAAAGGAAATGGTCGAAGGCATGGGCGGCACCAAGAGCGAGCACTACAACAAGTTTGAGACGCTTTGTTGCCAAGCCTACAACTGGTCTGATCGACTTGACGAAGCTCGGATGCTGATCACTGTCGTAGGCTGCGCAAGAGTGCGCCCATGATCCTCAACTTGCTCCACTTGATGGTGGACGCGGGCATCGAAGGCTACACCAACGACCCGCAGACGGTCCTCGCCAAGGTCGAAGAACGCTTCCGCCTCGATCTCACGGACGAGCAAGCCGAGCAGTTTTTCCTCCAGCTCATTTCGGACAGCATGAACGCCCTCTTCCCTGTGCTCGCCGACATTGCGCACGACATTCGCGTCAAAATGCGATAAGATCGCGTCGTAACCAAGTCGTAACCACCATATATATATGCACGTACCATATACATCCATCTTGCCATGGCCCAACGCGACACCAACAAGTTGCGCATTCGGTGGTGCAAACACACTCGACAGTTTGTGCCATCACCGTCGCCGCGTCCTGTCAAGAGCCCAAGAAAGGCCGTGCCACCAACGACCACTGAGCAAAACAACAATGCTCCGACGGTCGCATCGCTCCACTTGCCACCGATTGAGGTCGTCGGCCTTGGTGCGGACGATGTGGCCAAGGTGGCTGCAGAGCTTTGACTTCTCATGAGCTCATAGCACGCTGTAGTTTTTCAGCGTCGCCATCTTTCAAGAAGACACGATGGCGCGGACGCCACTGCGCGTCTACGTGGACCTCTTTGCACGAATCCAGTTTTCGACCGACCTCGCCCGCATCGCAACAAACCGCAAGGCGCTCGAGCTCTTCCTCGAATGCTACGAGCTCTGCCTCGGCCTCGTTACGGTGCCCCACCCGAGCCTCTGCCGCGGTTGGAACCGAGTGGTTCGTCTTGACGCTGACGGAATGCGGTGTAGAGTGGCTGCCGTGCGCCGAGATGTATCTCTTCCTTGGTCGATTCGCGAAAGCGCGCCGCGTCGCCCAGCAGGTTGGAGCGTCCAAGGACATGACGGAGCGTCTCAAGCGCGTCCTCGTGCTGTCTCGTAACCACGAGCGTGCGTGCGAGACGTCTCGAAGGGCCCTCGAATTTGCGTACCCGCCAAAAGAGAGTTTGCACGCGTTGGTCGCCGCCATCGACAGCGTCTTGTCGACGTCGCCAGCCTCCCCGGAAGCCTTGTACCTCAAAACCGCGGTGCTTGTGGCCACGCAAATGTACGACGAGCTTCTCGAGTTTCTAACCCGGCTCCCGTTTCCACTTGTGGCGTCCGACACCAACTTGCTCATCGCGAACGCACGAGCGCAGAGCCATGTGGGCAATCTCGAGGCAGCCGTCGCCTTGCTTCAGAAAATGCCACCCGGCCGCCACTCGCCGACCTCACGCCAGTATCTCGAGCAGCTCCAGCGCATGCAGTCACGTCGGGTACGCACCGTTGGTCACCGAATACACATACATGGGTGTGGTGCGTCCAGGCGCAAGGCATCTCGCTCGTCAACGGCGGTCACTATACCGCTGCTATCGACATGTTGACAACGTGCTTGGCTCTGGAGACGTCGAATGCGCTGTACCAAGCCAGCGTCTTGTATGAGCGCTCGGGGGCCTTCTTGGGCGTACCTGGGAGAGAGGGGGATGCGGTTGCAGACGCCGAGGCGTGTCTTCGACTGCAGCCCACCCACGCACTCTGCCATGTTCGCCTTCGCAGTGCACGTGTGCAGCTCGAGACGGCCAAGATGGTACAGCGCGATCGTTTCATCGGGCCAATCGACACCGAGCGTAGCAGCACCTCGTTTACAAGGAGCAGCGGGCGGCAGACAAGGCCAACAAGTACCGTCGTGTTCCTTGGCGTCACAGAGAGAGACGTCGCATAGGCGTCCATCATACGCCAGCGTCTTCTTCCGAACTGGTGCACCCTCCAACCTCGCACCGCGCGACCAGCTGCGGTACTTGAAGTCGCACACGGAGGCCACGGGACGACCCAAGACGACGCCGGTGCTTGCAACAATACCCCTAGAACTCTATTACACGATGTTGGGCATTTCGCCTGCGGCATCGATGGACGAGGTCAAGAAGGCGTACCATCGATGCGCGCTGCAGCTGCACCCAGGTGACGGCGATGGCAAGTACCTTGCGGTATGCAAAGGTGCATGTAGACAAGCGCAAGAATGCGGACGCTGACGACCAGTTCAAGGCGATTGCGACAGCGTATGCGGTACTGAGCGACACGGCCGCGCGCGACGAGTATGACCGCGTGGTGAAGTCGTCATGTTACTCGACCCATTAACGCGTACCTTTGGTGCTAAAGATGCCGTCGTCGTCGCTCGAGTCGTCGTCTTCGAGCCAGTAGGAGAGACTACCTCGCATGATCTTGGCGATGCGCTCCGTCTCCGAATCCAGCAAAGGCGGCTTAGCGGGACTTCGCCGTAAAGGCTGGACCGAGCGAAACACGGGCGGAATACTTAGAGGCACGGGTCGGGCCGTGGAGCGACGCGGCGGCTCGCGTGCAACAGCAGTAAGCGCGTCGGTGGGTGCATCGGTCATGACGTTGGGAGTGGTTTCCCGCGCACTCTGTGTCAACCGCGCAATCTCGGCAGCCAAATCGTCGGATGCACGACGTGCAGGTAGCCTTGGCAGTGGCTCATCGAGACGTTGTACAAGACGCGAAAGCTGGTCTGCAATCGACAGCGTCGGCGACGTCGGTGCGGACTCGTCTTTGGGTGCTGGCGTCAAGATACCATCGGCGAGGGCTTTTGAAGATGCCGGAGTTTCCAGCGCGACACCCTTGGTTTCCAATCTGTCCGGCCACGGACTCGGTGGTCGCTTTGGCGACGGCTCTACCTTCGTTGAACCAGTTGTCTCCATGTGAACGTGCTCGCTCGATGGCTGCAGTGTGTCAGCAACCACCTGCCGTTGCACTGACGTAGCATCCATCGACGTGGCATCGTGTAGCGCACTGTCACGCGGAACCGTCGTCGTCTCTTCTACTTCTGTTGTCGTCACACCAGCATCAAGCTGCCCCGTAAGATGAGGCTTCTCCGTTCGATCGAGCGACACGCGTACGACATCCATTGTAGGACTGGTACGTTCGACCAGAAGTGGCGGGGAAGGCTTGACGGGGCTCGCGCACGCCGAGCAGCTTGGTGTCGTCAAGGACGTGAGCGCGGCTAGCTGGAGCTTGATATCTTGCATTGTCTCCAAGACCGTCCTGAGTACATCGTCGTCAACGGCGTGGGACTTTTCGGACGCTGGCCGGCTACCACCAGACCACAAGCACACGTCCAGATCGGCCACGGGTGATGCGGGCGCGCTCTCGATGGGAGGGGCCAGCAACGCTGCCAACGCTGCGTAGTCATCGTCTTCGTCCTCAGATGCTGCTGGAGTGCTCGGAACGTCGGCCACGACCGATCCCATGAGTGTGTCACACTCCTCGAGCACGTCGTCTTGACGAGCTTCGAAGGTCGGCGGCGCAAACAGGCTGAGCGCTGACAAGTCGACGTCATCGCAAGACCCATCCGAGCGATCGACCGGAGCGTCCGATAGCACGGCCGCGCTGTTGTCGTCCCAGCCACTCTCGTCGACGAGCGCAGCCTCGCCCGTAGCATCAACGGCTTCAATGTCGTCCACCATATCGTCCATACCATTCATGTGCACGTCGAGAGCCGTCATGTCAAACTCCGACTCCGAGTCGCTCCAATGACCACTGACGACGTGCTCGTTTTCTGCAGTCTCTGAGACCGGAGGCAACCCTCGCGGGGACGTCGATGGCGATGGCAGTGGCGATGCAGTTGGTGATGGCTCTGGTGACGCAGCTGGTGACGATTTGGGTGACGCCAGCAACACCCGTGATGGGGATGCAGGCGGAGATGCTGGCGGTGACGCAGGCGGCGATCGTTGCTGGCACGCTTCATCTGGCGACGTGATCGTGACGTGGTTGAGCCGTTGATCAATGTCGGCGAGATCGCGCTGTACTTTTTGAAGGAGTTGCCACGAGTCGGTCTCGATGTCGGTAGGCACGGCGGCATTTGACACGGGTACGACGACCGACTCCACACTCTCGAGGACCGTCTTTTGAATGCGGAGTTGGAGCTGGCCCTATGTAATGTGGTTTGAATGAGACCCGTACACATAGTGATTGCTCTTCTTACGCGGTACTGTTGCGTGGCATCGATAATGTGGTACCACCCGCACACTTCAGGTGTCCATTTCAAGAGCGCGAGGTCGACGACGGCTTGACCAAGGCGCCGCGGCGACTCGAACGACGACGCATCGTGCAGCCACAGTGCAAACACCAGCGGTGCCTCTCGTTGTCGAACAAAGTTGGCACTGCATGAAAAGTCGAAGGCGAGCGCGGTCGTCACGGGCACTTGTTTAGTTGTCTACGTCACATACTTATACCCTTCCAACACGCATGCTTGGCTTTATCGTACCTGACGCAGCGAGCCCCACTCCACTTGAACACTTGCGAGAAACGACGCAGTACCATGGCCTTGCACGTCCAAGTGGCGAGCTTGTAGGATGGATACCTAGACATATCTCGTCAGCACCTGCGGTGGTAGATATACACTGTGACGACGTACAACACTGTCGTTATCAACGTGGGTAACGTGGGTTTCGTCCAGCTCCCGAGACTCTGCTTGCACGACCTCCGGCTTGCTGAAGGGAACCCTGTCGTCGGCGACGACTTCCGGGGTGGGACGGGATGACGGATCTTGGCGCGTCATTCCGACAGCACGGAGCCGGGGTTCCCGCGCTGGTGTCAGCACTGTCTGAGGCGTCGTTGTAGGAACTAAGATACGCCCCTTGCCGTGATGGAAAGCAATGTGCACTTGAGCGCGACCGTGGTACACACCATCTAAGTGACATGCCATGCAATGCTAAAACGCGAGGTAGACGCAAGTGTACCTCGAAGGAGTGGGAATACGCCTTTGATGCCTTGCGTCCGAAAGAGAAGTGAGGCCAGCGGAATTGCGACAGCGCCAAGGTATGTGAGGTCTTTCCCGGATGCGACGTGCCACACGTCGAGGACCACGTCGTCGACCGCCATGCTGTCAAGCAGTGCAGCATGAATCGTCAAGTGCTCTTGAAACGTGTAGTAGGACGTCGGTGCGAGGAGCGGCGAGAGCTGGCGCGACATCCACTTGCCTCTCTCCGAGTCGAACGCCACCGAAGTGGCGTCGTCGTCGACGGCATCGCCGACGCAGAGCGCGCACTGTACTTGGACACTGGCCACGGACGCAGAGGCGAGCTGAAAGGAGCCAATGCGCACCGTGAGCATCGACGTGGCCGGCAGCAATTTGGACGACGTCGACTTGGTCTCGAGACTGGCGCCGGCACGCGGTTCGGATGCCTCGAGCGAATGTACAACGCGCAACGGAAGGGCCGGAACGCGTGCTTGGAAGTGCGTCAAGTCCCATTGGATGGGCACCGCATCGGGGAGCGCCGATGCGTCAAGGACGACGTGCGCGCGGCCAATGCAACGCAGCACTGACGTCATGCTTGGCTGCCACCACAGCTCCACATCGAGAGCGACGGAGGAGGATCGACCGACGTGCTCGTTCACGGAGCTCCACGACGCATTCGTGGCATCCCACCACATGGAGCACAGAGCATCGTCGAACGTGTACCGGAGCTCGCAACCAAGACCCGCGGCTGTGCTGCCGCCGAACGGTTCGCGCAACGAGAGTGTCCATTTGTGGTACATGGGGCTTGTGTCTGGTAGCGAGTTGACGCCAGCTTCGACATCGCAGCTTTTTGCGGGGAAAGAAACACTGTCGTCGAGACGGAGCTGCGTCTTTGGGTTCAAGAGAGCGATGGCTGCATCAGCATCGTCCAACAAAGACGGCGGCGGCACGGTGTCTTCCGTAAGCGTCGTGTCTGTGAAAGCAGCAACAGGGTCCTTGGCATTGGGGGCAACGTCATCGAGGCCATCACCCTCGATCGCATCGAGCAGCTCAAGCACGACGTCGTTCAAGGCGGACCGCGACTCATTGACGTCGACACTCGATGGAGCTGCGACCACGACATGTTCTTCGTTGTCTGTAGGTGCCACGTCGAGCGCCAGCTCGAACTTGTCGGCCGAAACGTTGTCTGTGAGCGTGAGGCTTTCCCACGCCCAAGTGTTTGGTGCAGGGTCTGGTACTCGTTGTCGCCAAGCACGCAGTGCTCGTTGGAGCACACGGGCAGCCGTCTCCTTGTCGGCCAGCGACAGTGGTGGCCGCCGTGGCTTGTGTTGTTTGCGGACTCGCCACCCACGGTAGAGCGATTGAAGTCGCACGGCACATCGAAATCGTGCAAGCCATGCGTCAATCTAGTCGAAATTTCGTGTTTAGGTGTAGGCGTTTCATCGGAACATACCTGCAAGGACGAGCCCACAGCAAGTTGACATGTCACGTGACCAACAGTGGCAACATCAAAGAGGTTGACGATCGGGGCGTTTCCGTCAAAGACGACATCCAACACCGATCCCGCGTCGCATCTACAAAAGTACTGAGAGCTCCATGCTGTCGACGCGATGCATACTCCAAGGAGTCTTCGACGCCAAGCAAAGGGAGCTTGACAAGCCCCATAAGTGTGCTTGCTTGTGCTTGCTGCCACACTTCGAGCACCTGCGTGAGAATCAGGCCTTGAACAGCAAAGGAATGTGTACCACTGCTTTGGTGCGCACATCGGCGACATGCACTTCGTCCATAGATCCTCGGGCGCAAAAAGCGACGTTGCGGCGATGCACTCTTGGGCCTCGAACTCGCTTTTGGACGCTTGTGACAACTGGCGACCAAGGCATCTTGACCGAGAGATGTAGGTTCATGCAACCATGCGAGACGACGAGGCCGTCCACGTAGGACACGTACAGTGCACACTCGAGGTCCAATCGCATCACGGGCTCGGGTGTGGCAGGTACAGGTAGCGGTGCAATGGCTGGTCGGCGTGGCGAGGCCGACGCTCGAAGAGCAAAAGTGTCGTCGTTGGTGTACTGGTCGACAAGGCTGCGCCACGAGTAGCTCGGAGCGTCGTTGGGACCGAGACTCTTGGCGGTCGCGAGCACTGTGGCCACATCATGGTGCGTCAAAGTGCTTGTTTCCATCGGCGCGTTGATGGCTTGCTGCATCGCCTTCTTGAGCGCCTCGCCCTTCTTGACGAGCGCGTCGAGGCGAGACGTGACGGGCGACGGCTCTCGTCGCGCGGCCTCGTGGCCGTATTTGTCCTTCTCATACACATGCTCGTACGTGTCCGAGTTGTCGGTCGACGGCGTTCTCGAGCTGCTGTCGCGCACCGGAACCAGTCGCGGTGGCAACACGAGGTCGCGGTTCCTGCGCACGGTGACCGTTGATGGCATTGGGATCGGCGTGTCGTCGTCGCCCCACAACAGCGTTGCTGAGAGCTGCAATACGCCTCGCACTTGGAACGTCGACTTGCGTACGATGGGGGCTTCCTTCTCGAGACCGGGCGTCTCCATCTCGACGAGGCTCAAGCTGACCTCGGCGCGCCCGACGACCTGATGCGTCGCCTTGTCGACGACGTCCAGCCGCAGCGGTCCCATGTCGGAGAGGTACTTGGCGAAGCGGTCGCGGGAGACATGGACGGGGAACGCCAGCGTCTGCCCCTCGCGGAGCAGGTCACCCTTCTCGTGCTTGGTCATGGCGCCCCACCATCGCACGCGGACGAGCCATGGTCCATCGGCGCGGACCTTGATCCGGACCTTGACGTAGCCCATGACGGGTCCATCTACATGGGGCGGAAGAGACCCGAGGGCGACGACCGGCCGCTCGTCCATCCTCTCGTCCATGCGATCTTCCTCTTCCTCGACTTCTTTCGCGCGTCTGGGTCCCGGGTCGGTGCAATTTTATTCCAAAAGCAACGATCTCAACAACATATAATTGCCATATTTTATGTTTGCTACCAAAATACAGATCACGACGCAGATAGCCTGTATATTAATATACGAGGCACAGAAATGACCGGATTTTCAATGCAAATACCGGGAAAAAGCCAATATCCGGTATTATCAACGTCGGATAATAATCAAGTGGCATCCGGCGTGGCGCTGTGGACGCAGTCCGCAAATTCCGACGAGCCAAGCGAGCACCAGCGCGCCAAGGAGCATGGCCCGGCGATCGATGAGCCCCGACGAAGAGTTTGTACCCGAGCGCTTGCGCCCCTACATGCACCACTCGCATGAAGATTTCTGGGTCTCGCGCTGCTTCCAGCCACTCTACCTCGCGCTCATCATGTACGAAGGCTTCCTCCCGATCGCGACGCAGCAAGCGCGGACCGTGTACTTGCTGCCAAAGCTCCACATGGAGCGCTGCATCCTCGATCCTGCCACGTTCCACATTTCGAAAAGCGTGCGCAAGAAGGCCAAGGAGTACACGCTCAAGTTCAACACGGCATTTGACGCGGTTGTGCACGGCTGCCACGAGCAGCACGGCGTCGCGTGGCTGTACCCGGAGGTCGTCCAAGGCTTTCGCGGCTTGCTGCCCGGCGTCACCGTCTCGGACCAAGGCCATCAAGTCCGATTACACAGCGTCGAGCTCTGGCGAGGCGACGTGCTCGTCGCGGGCGAGCTCGGGTACACCAACGGCGCCATGTACACGAGCCTCACGGGCTTTGTTCAACCGGGTGCGAGTGGCGCCGGCACGATGCAGCTACAAGCGCTCGGGAGCTACCTCCACGTGCACGGCTTCCTGGTCTGGGACCTTGGCATGTCGATGGAGTACAAGCTTCACATGGGCGCCATCGACGTCCCGCGGCCAACCTTTGTCGCAATGGTTCGCGAACTTCGGTCCGCTCAAGTGGCCATGCCTGGACACGATGTGAATGCACGCACCATCATGGACGCGCATATAGCGACAACAGACCGACAACATTGAATGGAATGTACTACATATCCGACGTTGATTGCTTGGACTACAGCGGCCAGCTATTCGAATACGTACACGCCATCGAATTCATATATGGCATCGATCATTGCAAAGGACGTTGCCAAGAGCTGCTTCAAGAACAGCGCTCCGACGAGCGGATGATAGGACCTGTGTCACCACACCGCTCGGTCGCTGGCTCCGAGACAGACCAATACCTTGCACAAGCATCTCTCTCCGTGGCGTCGACGACGTCGCTGCTGCAATAGCTTTCGGCGTACGTGGCAGGCGGCGGCCGCGTCCCAGGCAACATTGCAGTTCGGAGCAGGATCGGCCGACCATCTTGCCGAGTAGCCACTGTTGCAACTTGGTGTTTGTATACACACCTGGTGCCGGTATAAATCCCGCGGTCGTATCCGGATGACGCTCTGCCAAAGAACGCATTGTTTGTATGGGCGTGCCAGTCATCCGGATAGCGCCCTGGCGTACCTACTGTTGCATTTGAGCTAACCCCCAGGATGATGGATGCGACGACGCCGACCAAGCTGGTCGACGCAAGCAGCAGCAGGACGGCTAATGGCGCCAACGACAGCCTCATGGGCTCCTTCAACAGCGGCCAGTGGTCGGCGCTGCTGGCCTCGGTCGTCGTGACCGAAGACCGCGTCCGCGCCGGCGACCTCAAGGACGAGCATGCCAAGAAGAAGCTGCCATCGGTCATCTACGAGACGCCGACGCGTGGCATCAGCAACGCCCGGCGCGAAATCTCGCACGCGTCGCTCGGGCGTCTCGTGGCCAAGCTCACGGATGCACATCATTACGACACGGAGTTCCGCGACGGCTTTCTCCTCACGTACCGGTGCCACTCGACCGCATATGAGTTTGTCAAGAAGCTCATCAAGCGCTACAAGGCCGCGATGAAGCTCATGAACCCGTCGTCGATCGAGTGCGACCCAACCAACGCCGAAGAAGAACGGTTCTCGATTCCGTCGAGCGAGGCCATTGACGTCAACACGCAGGCCGAAGCCAACATCTCGATCATGCGCGCCATGAGCGTGCTCAAATTTTGGATCCGCGAGTCGGGCTACATTGAGGCCGACCTCACCGACGACCGCAAGGCGCAGGTAAACTCCGATCGGAGTTCCGCCTCATATATCTTGGTTTGTAGAAAAAATTGTTTTTGTTTCTCGAAGAGATACGAAAGACGTCGCCGATTCCATCGATCGTCCGCCACGCCGAGACGATGCTTGTACGTCCCATTTGCATGCAATCTCAATCTCAATCTCATGTCCTAGCACGTCGTTGGCAAGATTTTGAAAGCGTCAACCTTGTTGCGACAGCAGCTCAAGCACCACGAGACGTCGCAGGTCGGATCTCGGCCCTACGACATGCCGTCCCCCTTGGACCTCGGCAACGAAGACGACAGCGTGCCCGTCGCCGTTGACGCGCTCTCGCGGTCGGCCCCGGCGCCCGCCTCGACCTCGGGCGCGCCAAAGCTCACGCGCAGCTCGTCCGACTCGACGAAAGAGCCTTCGACCAAGGTGCCCACCCTGGCACGAGGCATGACGACCGGCAGCTCGCAGTATGGCGTGGACGCGGCCTTGCTGCTCTCGAGCGTCAGCAGCCACAGCAGTTCGTTTGGGCCCCTCACGCGGTCGCAGTCGGATAGCACAAAAGAGAAGGGCAAGTATGTAAGCGTCTCGCGGTCCGAGCCGCTGAGTGGCATATCGGCGCAAGAAGCCGCAGAGCAGCTCACGCTCCTCGAGGAATACCGGTACCTCAAGATCCAGCCGCGCGAGCTCACAAATAAGAACTGGACGAGCGCCAACAAGCACATGGACGCGCCCAATGTCCTGGCGTTGATCGAGCTCTTTGATGCGGTATACCTCGGACGATGCGTGCGTGGACATGACACGCTTGCGTAGCGCGCCGGGTGGGTCTCGAGCGAGATTTTGCATCCCAAGCTCCAAGCCAAGCAGCGCGCCAAGATGATTGCGTACTTTATCGATGTCGCTGAGGCGTGCCACCACCTGCACAACTTCAACACGCTCTTTGAAGTCGTGACAGGTCTTAAAGCCCCGTGCATCCAGCAGCTCAAGACGACGTGGGACCTCCTCACTCAAGCGCAAAACGACCGGTTCGAATGCCTCAAGAACATTTGCGCCCAAGACAACAACTATGCCACGTACCGCCAGGTACGTCCTCTTGGCCGCCCTAGGACTCGACTTGATATATTGATATTTCCTAGGCGTTTGCGCTGGCCGAAGGACAGCCGCGCCTGCCTGCGTTTTTCCTTGTCACCAAAGACATTTTCGGCTACGAGGAGTCGATGCCGACGATCGAGCACGGACTCGTGTGCTTTCAAAAGTTCCGCAAGGTCTCTGGCGCGCCATACCGACGTGCTCACGTGACCGTCGACTAGATCCACCGCGCGATCGTCGATGCCCTTAGTTGTCAAAACGTGCGGTACACGTCGACGACGACGGTCGGCCGCCGGCGCAAGGCGCTCGTGCCCGAGAAGAACCAGCAAATGATGCTACGCCATCGACTGGAGACGTACGGTCGTGCTACTTAGATCACTGTGCTCATAATCCCGTAATTCCGTAGCATTCGCAAGCCCAGCGCCGAGCTCTTTCGGCTCGCCAAGAACGCCAACCGCCAAGAAAATGTCCTGTTTGTCAACAGCCTCGCGGACGCTGGCTTTATGTAACCGACTCAAAAAGTACTACCGTTTTCCAAAATTTGAATGTACAACATTGTCTACTGGAGCTTCTGGAACGGCACAAACTTGACCTTGGCCTTGGCGTTGCGGATAGGTCCATAGGTTGAGTGGCCAAACTTGGCGTGCGCCAGCGTGCGCTGCTCGCTCGGGACGTTGAGGTAGTCGAGGATGTTCGTCGCCGTCGTCGGAATCACGGGCAGCAACAGAAGCGCTAGTCGTTACAACATAAAATTGGCGCCAAACACGATGGCAGGTTGCATACCACTGATGCGCGCCGCCTCCATGGAAATGAGCATCGTGTTGTCCACAAAGCGCTGCTTGGCGGCGACGTCGTCGGTCGTCAAGCCACTCGGGTCCTTGAGCTCCTTGGCCACGACCCACGGCTCATTGTTGGAAAAGTTACTAGAGCAGTATGAGGAATCACGAGGTAGGACATTGCTACGTACCGGTTGATGTCGTGAAGGAAGAAGATGACGGACCGAATCGCCATCGAAAACTAAGTCTCTGTCGTTAGCATCACGCGAGGCAGAAGGAGCGTACATCGGGCTTTTCGTAGTAGGCTTGCGTCGTCTCGACCATAGCGTCCAGCGCTGCAATGAGCTCCAAGTCGCTTACTGAGTAGTCACCACCCGTCGGCACGATGCCATCGGGCACGAACGCAAGCGTCGTGCTGCGAATCACTACAAGAATGACAAAGTTGTAGGATATGTTGAGCAATACGCGGATACCGAGGTTGCCAAGGGTATCAGCAATTTCGCTGTTGACTCGGTTCTTCAAGAGCTCCTCGTTGAAGTCGCCGTCGTCGGTCAAGACGCCTTCTCGCAGCAAGAAGTACCGAACAGCGTCGACGCCAAACTAGGTACGTTGTTCGCATGTCACGAATGAACAAGGAAAGCGTACGGAGTCGATGATGGCGTTGGGCTCAACCACGTTGCCAAGGCTCTTGGACATTTTGACATTGTCGACCGTCCAGTGCGCATGAGCTACAATGCGCTTGGGCAGCGCCAGATTGGCGGCGAGCAAGAACGCCGGCCAGTAAATCGCATGGAACTTCAGAATGTCCTTGCCCACAATGTGATAACTCGCGGGCCAGTTCTAGTCATGTGGGATGGCTGGCGCATTCAGAAGGACGACATGTGTACCTCGGCGAGCTTTGCCGAGTCGGGATACCCCGCACACGTCAAGTAGTTGCTCAGGGCGTCCAGCCAGACGTACACCGAGTGGTTCTCGTCGTCTACATCGGATCACATTCGAGTTGCAATGACAGAGGACTAGCGTACGTGGCACGGGAATGGCCCACTGAATCTTCTCGCGGAGGCGCGAGACCGACACATCGTGGAGGCCGCCCGCCACCATCGAGCGGACCTCGTTGAAGCGGGACTTTGGCTGGACAACGTCCGGGTTGGCGTCGAGCCACGCGAGGAGCGCGTCTTGGTACGCCGAGAGACGAAATTTGTAGTTTTCTTCTTTCACAAGCTCGACGGGGTGGCCGCTCTCCTTGGAGACCATCTGGCCGTCGGCTCTCGCCTCGACTTGCATCTCGGTCAAGAACGACTCGTCCGAGACGCAATACCACGCTTCGTGCTGGCCGAGGTAGATGGCATCGTTGGCCAAAAGCGTCTTCCAAAGGCCTTGGACGGTCGCCTTGTGCTCCGGCTCGGTCGTGCGCACAAAGCGGTCGTAGGCCACATTGCCCCGCGCACACATGGTCTGGAACGTCGTCGCGACGTCGTCGCAAAACACATTGGTGGGCTTGCCTGCGCGCTCGGCCGCCTGCTGCACCTTGAGCCCATGCTCGTCCGTGCCCGTCGAGAAGAGCGTCTGGTGGCCCGCGAGTTGGAACCAGCGCGAGAGCGCATCGGCCATGACCGTCGAGTGGAGGTGGCCGAGGTGCGGCGCTGCGTTGACGTAGTAGATGGGCGTCGTGATCGTCTTGGTCGTTGCCAAGCGCGATTGCAGATAGCGAGGTCGCGCTTGCACATTGCCAGGTACTCGGACCAAGGACGCGGTTGCCGCGAAGGACCGGCGCCACATTCTTCTGCTTGCTGGGTCGAAACTGCGAGTGCTACGTCTTCGAACTTCGGCGCGCACGCGAATCGATGATTGGGTGAAATCGATGCATTATTATACAATCTCTCAATTTGATTCGTACAAAAGAAGCTCGGGGGCACGGTTTTGGCCAATGGCCTTTGAGAACGGGCGGATCCAGCAATTCGACAGCACCATGTCGGCTATCTCGTCGTCGGACGGCGCCGTGAGCGGCGGCGACAGCGACGTGGACTCGGGCTACTCCAAGAGTATTGACTTCGCTGAGACCGGCTCGGACACGGCGCCAAGCACGCCCAAGACTGACGATGTCTCCGAGGCCGGCACGTCGTCGGACGACGAGCCACTCAGTGTCTTTCGCGAAGGCGTCCGGAAGCGCAAGACGGCCCGACACGGCGACTACCGGTATACCGAGGTCGTCGAGAGCGAGTCCGAGGGCGAGCCGGCGCGCCACGAGACCTTGCGAGACTACTCGTACGAAGGCGAGCTCGAGATGCTCCATGTGCCCCGTATGGCGTACCCGTTCCCGTCGTACCTCCGCCAGATTGCGACCGAGATCACGTCGACGCCCTCTGCTGCGAGCCAGCACCCGTTGCTGTCGTCACCGTCGTCCTTTATCGCGTGCCAAAACCTGCCATTGTACCTCCACCGGCGTCTTCCCAATACACATGCACCAACCGCACGCAAGCGCGCCCGGTCGCTGAGTTACGAAAGCGACATCGATGGTCTTAGCGACGCGTCGATGCTCAGCAGCCACAGCGACGACTAGTCGGCTCCTCATTGTCGACAAAACCCGACCACAACAACAACAAAATGGCAACGTGTTCGCTCCGTAGCTTAGGCCAAGAGGTGCGTAAAGAGGTCGCGGTAAATGTAAATGCCCTTGAGAAACGTATCCTTGTGCAACATCTCGTTGTGCTCGTGGAGCAAAATCTCGGTCTTGTTCATGGGCGAAAAGCCCAGCGCCGGCACGCCAATCTGGCGCAAGAAGCGGCTGTCGGTGGCCGCCGGAAACACCTCGAGCTCGACGTCCATGCCAAGGTCCTTGCACGTCTCGAGGAACCGCGCGCAGAGCGGGTTCGTCTCGGCGTCGACCGAGGTCACATGGTGCTCGTGCAGCGGCGCACCAACATACGACCACGAGACGCCGTCGGCCGCGCACCACGCATCGAGCATCGCCTACCATCGATCGAGTCAGCATTTCTTATCCAATGCGACGTCATACGTGGAACTCGGTGAGGTCGGCCGTCGGTGAAATGCGAATGTCAAAGCCGGCCGTGGCTTCAGTCGGAATGACATTGAGCGAGTACGTAGCGCCATTGTCCATCGAGACGCCGGCCTTGAGCACCGTGAGGTTGATAGTCGTGACGTCCCCGAGCTTCTTCTTCTTCATGTCGCCGTGCTTGCAGCCGCAGGACGCGCCAAGCGCCTTCTCTTGCTCGTCGCGAAAGGCCAGCGCCTAGCGTGCCCGTGTTGACGGCACAGTCATGACCAAGACGGACCTTGTTGCAGATCGCAATGAGCTTGGACGTCGCCGTGTTCTCAATGAAGCGCGACCCATGGCCCGTCGGGCCCTCGGCCTTGACGTAGATCCACCACGGCGTGCGCTCGCCATAAAAGACTAGACAAAAAATGTCATCATCACAGACGACAATGGTAGGTGTGATACCTGTAAACTTTTCCGTTGGGTTGGCCAGACCTTCGTCGAGCGCGATGGCCAAGGGCGTGATCGCCTTGTACTCGGGCGACTTGAGGAATTCGCCCATGCCGTCGACGCCGCCAATCTCTTCGTCGGGCACAAAGCACAAGTGCACGTTGCGCGCCGGCACAAAGCCCGACGCTTTCAAGAGCCGGACGGCTTCGAGATACTGGATGCACACGCTCTTCATGTCCTGCGTGCCCCGGCCGACGATGAAGCCGTCGTCGCGGATCTCGCCCTAAACAGCGTGAGCATCCAGCGTAGAAGAAAGCGAGCGCGTACGCCAAACGGGTCGTAGTGCCAGCTCTCGCGCATGACGGGCACGACATCGTAGTGCGAGTTGAGAAGGACACCGGGCAGCGTCGGGTCCTCGCCCGCCCACGTCGCCTACAAGATCCATGTAGGTATGGCCCATGGCGGCGACGACAATGGTTTACCAAGACGATGGGCTTGCCCGCGACAGGCGAGAAGACGTGCGCCTGGAGACTGAGCTCGCCAAGGTAGTCGACGAGCCACGCAGCGCACTAAGTCGACGCATTAGACTGGCGAAGCGGCATGTCGCGAGGTACCTGGTCATAGGCGCCCTTGGCGCCGGTGCCGCTGACGGTCGGGATGCGCAGGAGCTCCTGGAAGTGGCGGATGGCCGAGGCCTCAAAGGTCGCGTCGACAGTCGTTGTTGTCATGCTGGCAGCTCTGGAAATGACGTCAAATTCCCGCTTTCGCGAGATCTGAGTCGAGTATCGAGTTTGAGAGGTTTGCCCTTTGGCACCCAGTTACATGCACTATGAGTTGACCGCCACTGACAATGCCAATGAACCATGGAGTAAGTTACTAGAATTACACTACGGTACCGTTCTAGCACGAAGAAGACGCGTCTTGACCGCTTTGCTTTATGGGCGCAAGACCAACGCGCTGCAGGTGCCAAGGGCTAAATGACAAGGATGTTTCCTCCGCTGCCGCCTTGAAGTCGCGCATCGCCGTTCCCCGAAGCGCATCATATGCTCGCTGTCCCACGTGGTCTGTGTCCGTGTGTCGGTGCATTCATTGGCCATCACGCACGTTGGTCCAACCTTGCTCGTGTCCATTGTGCAGCATGCACGTGAGCTTTGGCGGCTGCGGCTTTCTCCTCGCCTTTCACATCGGCGTCGCCAAGCAGCTTGAGGCACGCGGTGTCTTGACCGCATCGAGTCGATTCGCCGGTGCGTCGGGCGGCGCGCTCTTGGCCGCCGCGCTCGCGTACGGCCTCTCGCCCGACACAGTCTTTGACAAGCTCTTGGACGCCGCAGACCAAGCGCGATGTCACCGGTGCCTCGCCGACGTTGTCCGCGAGCAAGTCGACTCTGTCCTCCCAACGACGCCGCTCTCGAAGGAGCGGCTCATCGTGACGACCGCGCAGATCTGGCCTCGCGTGCAGGAATGCCACTTGACACGCTTCACATCCCGCGACGATTTGCGAGACGCACTCCTTGCGTCGTGCCATATTCCATTCTACCTCAACGGCGCCTTTGCGGTCAGCTACCGCGGTGGCTACTACGTCGACGGCGGCGCCTTCTCGCTCGTGCCAACTGTGCCCAACGCGATCGGCGTGAGCCCGTTCCCGACGGACGCGGCGGGCACGATTTCGCCATCGCTGCTCCCAAGCTTTCCGTACTCAAAGTGGCAGCTGCTGCATTGGGCGCTCTCACCGCCAAGTCACGAGGTGCTACGCGAGCTCGTCGAGTGGGGCGACTTGGCCGCGCAGTTGTGGCACGCAACGAACATAAGTGCAAACGAGATTTCACAACGTGTATATTGAGCAGAACAACCACCAATAGACCGTCGACTCGATCAAGTGCAAATATGTTGAATATTCGAGTATTTCCTCTGTCCGTTGGTATGACCTCGCGCGAGCTATGACTCGGCGAGAGAGGTCCACCACGGGGTGGATCTCGCAGCTCACTCCCAACGACCAAGTGCTGGTGCCAACTCCCACGCATGCAGGCGTAGCGCTTCGTCTGCAACGCCTTGAGCTGGTTTTTTCTACTTTGACTTCAACGCGAACTCTTAGTGAACGTCATAGAAACCGCGCACAAGCAAGGTGTTCGTATGACACGTATAATTTCCGCTGACAGCAGCTTCCAACGCTGTACATGCATCATGTCCATAACTCTTTTGCCCGCTGAATACTACAGAACCGTGCTCTATCGACAACAAGGGCCAAGGGAATAAAACAAACGCTCTCGCGCTGCCACGTCAGCGTCTAATTGCACACCACTTTGCCCTTCCCCGTCTGTGATTGGATTGGCTTTTTACTGCCTTTTTTATCCAGGTCGACGATGCATGTGAGCTTTGGCGGTTGCGGCTTCCTCCTCGCCTTCCACGTCGGCGTCGCCAAGCAGCTCCAGAAGCTCGGCCACTTGACGCCGGCTAGCTCGGTCGCGGGGGCGTCCGGCGGCGCCTTGGTCGCGGCCGCACTTGCCTGCGACGTGCCCCTCGACGCCGTCGAAGAGCGTCTGCGCCAGTCCGCGCTCCTCATGCGGTCCCCGTCCCGCCACCAATCGCTGCGTGAATACGTCCGTGCGCATATCCTTGAGCTCTTTCCATCACCGCTGCCGTCGCACCTCCCGCTCACGGTCGCCACCACCCAAGTGTGGCCGCGGCCCGGCGTGGACTTCCACACGACGTTCAAGTCGCGTGACGACCTCGCGGAGGTGCTCTTGGCCTCGTGCCACATTCCACTCTACCTCAGCCGCGACCTCTGTGTGCCGCACAGAGGCGCCTGGCATATCGATGGGTGCGTCGTGTCGCTTGTCCCAAGCCTTCCGCACCATGTCGGGATCAACGTGTTTCCGCTGCCTCCTTTTGCACGCCCGAGCAGCACCATGATCAGCCCGGCTTTGATTCCGACCCGGTTTCCATTCTCGTTGCAGCAACTGCTCGTGTGGTCGGTCGTACCACCCCACCCGGACGTGCTGGACGAGCTTATGCACTGGGGCCAAGTGGCCGCGACCGCGTACATAGCCATGAAGACCAAGTTAACTTAAGATAAATACGTGCTGGCGCTGTATCGAAGCGGCGGCTTGGCGCCATCCGTTTCAAGGAGCGTGATTTGGTTTTGCATCAAGTCCATTGCGTCTTGCATGTCGGCGAGTCGGTCCGTGAGCTTGTCGATATAGGCAACGATTGACCGCTGGTGCTCCTGCTTGGGGTTGCTCTGGATCGCGAGCAGCGACTCCATGACGGCCGGGTCATACTTTTCAACGATAAAATTCTCAATCACCGTCTTGTCGTCGCAGTACTTGTCCGTGACGGCCAAGAAGACGTCTCGAGTCAGAACACAGAGCTCGAGAAATGTGACGGCCTTGACCGTGGCTGCATGTTTGACGTTCATGAGCAGCGCGAGTTCCCCTGTGCACATTTACACTTGAAAAAATAAAAGATAACAAATCGGTACCAAAATGGTCGCCTTCTTCCAGTGTCCGATACGGCTTGAGGTCGATGCCGCCCACGTCCACGCGTTGAAACGACGCTTCAAGGAGCTTGGGCTGGCGCATCTCGCAAATGCCGTTTTGCACAAAGTACATTTCGCTGCCGACTTCGCCGCGCACGACAATGTAGTCGTTGCCGAGGTAGACCTGAAAACCGAGCTGCATCACAAGCTCTTGGACAAACTCGGGGCTGCACGGCTGGAACATGGGCGACCGCGTAATCATGTTCATCCGCAAAAAGAGCCCGACTTCGACCGAGAGATTTTTCGAGAGCTCCTTGGTGAACTGGAACGGCTTGCCGTTGAGCGTCCCGTGGCGGGTGTACATGGTCTGATAGTACTCGACGATGCGGTTTTGCAGCTCCACCGGCAAGTGGAGCAGCGTCATGCTCGAGAAGAGCGACTCCATCTACAGTATTTCGACCGTCAGTCAATACCTACCACCAATATTAATTACCTTTTGCTGAAAGAGGTCTTGGTTGGCGTAGTAGTTGGCGATCAAATTGCCCACGTTGCCAAACACGACCGCAATCCAGAGCGACCCAAGGATAATGACGACGGCCGAGAAGACATATTGTGCATTCGTCTGGAGCACATTCGATTGGCCCGTGACCGTGGTGACAATGTAGTAGGCGCTCAGCGTATACGCACTGAGAAGCGACCCGTCCGTAGAGCTCGCACTCGTCGTCTCGATCCAGAGCTCGGGCACGACAAGGCCATACCAGAGGCATGCGAGAAGGTGCACCAGAAACATAAACAGCGCGAGGAGCGACAAGAGCCGGATCAAGTGCGCGTAGCGAGAGTAGAGCACCCAGCGCTTGTACTCGTCAGGCACGCGGAGGTAGCGCAGAATTCGCACAAGCGAGTACATGCGCAAGATGCGTGGCAGCCGAAAGAGCTTGAAGCAACTAGCAAACGAGCTTGGAAGCGTGCTTGGACTCGAATGATGCGTGATGGCATAGACGAGCACGTCCCAAGGTACGATCGAGAGCGCGTCCGGGACAAACCTAGTCCAATCCCGTCGATCGCGTCGCTAGTATCAACATGTACCAGCTATGGAGATAAATGCGCGCAATGTGTCTTCGGGTCGTAATAAAGGTCACGTCCGAGACGCGCACCGCCGTGTTCAAATTGATGACGAGATCGATGGCAAAGAAGACGTTGGTGAGCAGACCCATTGTGTCGTCGCGCGGGTTTTCCAGCGGCAGGAACGCCACGTTGTACGGAATTGTCACGAGCTGGTAGTAAGTGAGCAGCACGAGGACCTAATCATTTGGACGTCAATTGTCAACGGTGTCAGCGACAATCATGCAATGGCGTACGAGGCGCCAGACTCGGTACCACCGACTCGTGGGGTAAATCATGTGGGGCACATAGATGACGAGCGTGCTGATCGCCGAGACGCGGTGCGACCGGAGCCGAATCTGGTACTGCGACAGCACTTTTTTGTGCCGCTGGCCCATCGCGACTTGATCGAGAAGCCGCGACCGGCGTTCGTGAAGCTGCGGAATGCGCTCGAGCATCGACTCGGTCAGTCTTTCCCGCACCGACTTGGCGCGGGCGCGTCCGATCACGTCACAGGAATTGGTGGTCGCGCCCGGATTCAGCGTCACCACGCTGTCGTCTTGGCGATGCTGGCTGGACGTCGGCAACAGCGTTGGCTCGGGCGCAAAGGGCACGACCCGCGGCGGCTTTTGCGCCACGAGCGACGTGATCGAGTTTGAACACGCGAGCGCCGTCGCCCTTGGCGCCACGCGCTGCGAATGCCCAATCAACTTGTTGCGCGTTTTGCTCAGCGTCTTGTGCAGTAACGTGGGCAGCCGCGCCGTGCTCTCTCTGTGGGGCGCGGTCGTTTTGGCGACATTGCGCAGAAAATTCTGGACCATGATCGTCGTACGGGTCTTGCGCGGGAAGCGTGGGAGCGGCGCGAGTATCGAGGGTGCGCGCGGACCATGGTACGACGGCAGCTCGACGTGCGAGATGCTCTTTATGCCATGCGTGAGCGTCGACGTGTCGGGCGCATCGACGCTCTGCAGTGGCGGGCCCGCCTCCATGCTCACACTGAAAAGGCGCGGGAAACCGTTTGGTTTGGAAAACGACCACGTCTCATTTTCAACCATGGCGCGTGCAGGTCCGAGCGCGAGCGTGGTGGCACCACCGCTTTCAAGTGACACGCACAGCAAGACCATGACGTATATGAGCAATGCGTCCGTGTGTCTCTCGACCTCGGAGGTGCGCCACGCGCTCACCCTGAGCATGGACGCGTCCGCCGTCGCCGTCACATCGTCCCGCGCCCCACGCCCGCTGCAGCCGGTACTCCGCCTTCTACGCGTCGGCACCAGAGCGAAAATGCGGTTTAGATGCGGTCGCGCGGCAACATCTTTGTGGCCTCCAGAGGCCTCTTGCGGGCCAAGAAGCAGCTGCTCCGGCACCACCAGTCGATCGTCCAGCGCAAGCGGGACATGGCCAACTACGTTGACCGCCACGAACGCGTCCTCGATCAGTACATGATCCGTGCTCGGGCGCCGTTGACGCTTCATGGGACGGACGGTGTCGACGCCGATGCCTTCCTCTTCGTCCCTTCTGATCCTCGTCTCAAGCTGTGGCAACTCGTACTCTACTGCAAACTACGATGCGCATCGTATGAACGGACGACGTTCGTAGGTTGTAGCACTCACTATGTACTACCAAGTGGTGTGGATCCCCTACACCCTCGCGTTTGAGGCGTCGCTTCCGCCGCCGCGCGATACCGGCTACCTCGTGGCGACGGCGGTGTTTTCGCTCGACATGCTCGTGTCGCTCAACACAGCGTACCGCGATCCGTTGAAACAGCTATTGGTGACGAGCCGCCCCGCGATTCTCGCGCGCTATGTCTCGAAAAGGTTGTCTTGTTCGATGGGGAATACGTGGTTGACGTCGAGTACTTTCACTTTTAGTTTACTCTGGGACTTGGTCGTCGCGCTCCCAATCGATTTGCTCTTCTACTATGGCGTCTACGCCGGGTCGCAACTGCACGGCAACTTGCACTACTTTAGCGTCCTCCGCCTCGTGCGACTGCCGCGCCTCGTGCGCATCACGAGCTTTCAGCACCTGCTCGAATTTTTCGGGATTCCCGTCGAGCAGCAGCGCTGGCTCCTGCATTCGCGCTACGCGCACCTCGTGCGGCTTCTGGCGCTCATCCTCGGCCTCGCTGTCATCATTCACGTGCTCGCCTGTGTCTGGTACGGTGTTATCGCCGACCCGAATTGGGTCCACGACATGTACTTGGCCAACGCGAGTGCGGTCGACGTCTACGTTCTGAGTTACTACTACACCATCACGGCGGTCTATGGGCAAAGCACGACGATGCAAACAAATAGTGAGTACGCGTTCTCGACGATTGTGATTGTGCTCGGGTCGCTCCTCATCGCGCTCGTGTACGGCAACGTTGCCGTCCTCGTCGACCATTTTTACGACGAACAAAATAGCTACAAGCACAAGGTCAACCCTATCTCGTTTCTACTCATTTGGTTTCAATCGTCTGTAGATGGAATCGCTCTTTGCTAGCATGCAGCTCATGCGCTTGCCGCGGGAGCTCCAGCGACGTATCGTGTCGTACTATCAAGTCATGTACGACCGCCACGGCACGCTTGACGGCCAGCCCGAGCAGTTTACGAAGGAGCTCTCCAAGAACCTCTCGGTCGAAGTCGAATTGTTCTTGCGGATGAACATGATTACGCGGTCGCCACTGTTTCGCGACTGCTCGAGCGAAGTCGTCCAGGACCTTGTGATGCGCCTGCATTTTCGGGTCTTTTTGCCCCAAGATTTCATCATTGCCCGCGGCGAAGTCGGGCACGACATGTACTTTATCGCGCACGGGCAATGCGAAGTCTCGAACCGCGGCATCTCGGACACGCCGGCGACGAAAAGCTCGATGCTCGACGACAAACCGTTCAAGGTCATGACGCAAGGCGACTACTTTGGTTGAACGATCTCGTGTCTTGTATGGTCTATCTCTCATGTGGCGTGCAGGCGAGATTGCCCTCCTCTTCAACTGCAAACGCATGGCCACCGTGGTCGCCAAAACGTACATGGAGCTCTGCGCTCTCACGCGCGTCGTGTACGAAGCGGTCATGGAGCGGTACCCGGAAGACCGCGCCGTGATCGAAGGCGTCATTCGAGAAAAGTACGGCGAGGCCGAGCTCAAAGATGCCATCAAGCAACACGCAAAAAGCAAGAAGAAGACATACGACCACGACGCAGCCGTTGTCGAAGGTCTCAATCGGCTCAACGAACGCCTCGTGCAAGTCGAAGACTGTATGGCGGACCTCAGTGCACGCCTCTCGGTATTGACAGCCGCCAAACTCAATGCGCATCCACTGTAATCGTCAACCGCGTTTGCATTCATCGATTGATCTTGCTCCTCGGAGACTAGCAGGGTTGATGGAACCGTTCATGACCGGCAGTACGTAAATGTCGTCTAGAGATAATAGAAACGGTATTGGGCAACAGACTGCACCTGCCTCGATGACAAAAGTGCACAGTGAGAGATTTGTGGGCCGCCATTCTACCTCGCGCCATCTCTGCTTTGCAAGCCTCCAGTAATAGCTCCCACGATTGTATATTATTTGGACGCGGTGGGCATTACATGACAGGATCAAAGCCGGGGGGGGTGCTCGCGGGGGGTTTGTCAAAGGGGGGTTTCTTTTTTCGCACTTGGAGCGCCGTGAAGATCTTGTTGAAGCAGTGGCGCTGCGCGTCTTCGATGTTTTGTACCTTGCGCTCAAGGTTGCCCATGCGATTGGAGAGCTCGCCGAGCGCCGCCAGGATCTTGGTCGACGCGTCGCCGTCACTGGGGGGCTTGACTTCCGGATGCAAGACGAGGGGAAGACCCTTGGCTTCGCGTTGCTCGACCTCGATCTGCTTGAGCACATCGGGGTGGTACCGCTGCACAATGACCTCTTCCATGCGCATGCGGTCTTCGACAAACTTCGCTGAAATCGACTCAAAGACGTCCCGCGTCAGAACGCACAGCTCCGAGAAGATCTGTGCGCGCACATTGGCCGTTCGCTTGCACTGCATCAACAGCGCAATCTCGCCTACACAGACAGTATATAAAAGGCGACCAAATCGTCTCGCTTTGCGCACCAAAGAAGTCGCCTTGCGTCAAGTGCCGCAACACGACTTCGTCTTCGCTCAAGAGGGGCGACGAGTCATTGGCTGCGACACCGCCTTTCGTGACTTCGCAAATGCCCGACTGCACAAAGTACATTTCCCAAGCGATTTCGCCATGGACGACGACGTAGTCGCCGGGCAAATAGACGTCCATTTCGAGGCGCATGACAATCTCTTGGACGACCTTTTTGCTGCACGTATGGAAGATGGGGACGCGGCTGATCATCTCCATCCGCAGATAGAGCTCGACTTCAATCGCGAGATTCCGCGAGAGCTCTTGCGTGAGCACCGACACTTGGCCGTCCAGCGTGCCGTGGCGTTCCCACATGACTTGGTAGTACTCGTTGATGCGGTTTTGGAGGTCGAGCGGAAGCTGCATCGCGCCCATCGACTCGAAGAGCCACTCCATTTTTTTCTTGTAGCTGTTTTGGTTCTCGTAGAAATTGGAGAGCAAATTGGCGACATTACCAAACACAATGGCCATGAGCATCGAGCCGAGCAAGAGGAGGTAGATCGAAAACATGTACTCGGCTTGCGTCTCGAGCTGCATGTTTTGGCCCACGAGCGTCACGAGCGTAAAGAAATAGCTGAGCACATACAAGTCGACGGTCGTGCCGGGCTGAAACGCGGTATTTTGCCACCCGAGACGGGCGACCGACCCGTGCCAGACGCACGCCATGATATGGACGACAAAGATGAAGGCGAGGATCATCGTCACGAGCCGAATCAAGTGCGAGTAGCGCGAATACAGAATCCAGCGTTTCCACTCGACGGGGATTTGCAAAATTTTGAGCACGCGCACAAGCCGCGCGAGTCGGAGAAGCCGCGGGAGACGGAGCGACTTGAGAAGCCCGAGAATACTCAAATGACTCGACGACGACGCTTCGTTGAGCGCAATGTACATGACAATGTCGATCGGAAAGCACGCAACGAGGTCGAGGACGAACCAGCCACAAATGTAGCGCTTCATGATCGCCTTGCGGCTCGTAATGTACTTGTCGGGCACGACCGGGTCGGCGAGCGCCGTGTTGAAGTTGAGGAGCGTATCGATGCCAAAAATGGTGTTGGTTGTGATACTAAAGTAGTCTTGGAGCGGGTTGCTGTTGGCGTCCGAGAACGCGAGCGAGTACGGCGTTTGAAAACTCTGATAACAAATGATACCGAGCGACATCTAAGGTCATACGATCAAGCGCCCACACGGAAGCATGCGATGTACCAGCTGCCATGTCTTGTACCAATTTGCACTCGGGTTGACGAGGTGCCACGGCAGTTTTTGCTCGGCGCTCGTTGTCTTCTTGGCGACCGCGCGAATGGTATACTGCTTGAGAATCGCATGGTGCCGGTCCGTGTCGAGGGCCTGCTGCCGCCGCCGGTCGACCATGTCCTTGTGCTTCATCTTGAGCTTGCCGATCGCGCGGAGGGCGGCGACGTTGGGCCGAAGCACCGTGCCCTCGGCCAGCGCCGCGGCGTTCGCAATCAAGTCGTCCGAGCTCTCGCGCTACACCGTCAACATATTTCGTTGTCGTCCTTTCTCGAGTACGACTGCACAAGAGTACCATGCTGGTGTTGAGGATGCTGGACGTTGAGGTGCCCTTTGGAAGGGCAAAGCTTAGCCGGTCGGGTGCGAATGGAATGATCTTGACCGACCGTGTGGAACTCCGGGGCTGGTCGACTTCCTTGGCGACAACGACGTCTTCGTCCGTCTCCTTGTCGTGGTCCTGTATCGGCGACATGGGCCGGCGCGCCCCCGGCACGGACAAGCTTGTGCGCCGCTGCATGCAAGCGTCGGTTACCCCGCCTTTCTGAAAGCTATAATAGCCCCGTCAACGTTGGCTTTGGTCCGTGTAACGCACGCTTCAACAAAGGCCGTTGCTTTTTGAAGATGCGATCGCCATGTGATTGGCAAGAAGCTCAAGCGAGGTGTCCAATATCCTATATAATAGTACACCGCTTGACCGTGGCTGGCACGTCTGTCGCCACTGTCGTAGCGAGCGGTGACAATACGTTGTTGTTCTGTGACGAGCGCCGATCGCCATACCAAACACAAGGCTACGCGTTGGTCGCTGCATCTCAGCTAGCAACTGACACGACCAGAAAGCCGACCCGAACGAGCGCCTTGTGGTGGGCATCGACAGCAGTTAAATAAATAGTGGTCTCGAGCGACTTCCTTTTCTACTCGAGAATTTTGGGGTGTCCGTGCCGCGTCTCTGTCCAGCAGTCCAGCGATGGACCGCCGGTCGTCGCGCGGGGGAGCAACGACGCTGGTGCGTGGGGCAAGAGCAGCGTCACGAGCGTCTCCAAGCGCTCGATCTTGGCGTTGGTAGCTGCCATCGTCTCCATGATCGCGTTGAGTTTTTCCTCGGCGCGGACTTCATGCGGCGTCAGCTCGTCTTCATTTTGGGCCTTGAGAATCGCTTCGAGCGCTTTCGGGTCGTACATTTCCTTGATGAACTTCTCGATCGTGACGCGGTCGTCAATGTACTGGGCCGTAATGTCTTCGAATGCCGACCGCGTCAAGACGCAGAGCTCGGCAAACGTGCACGCACGCACGTTGGCCGTGCGTTTGCAATTCATCAAGAGCGAGATTTCACCAAAGTAGTCGCCTTGCGTCAGCACTTTGAGGATCTCTTCGTTGTCGTACGGCCGCGGGTCGGCCGAGAGCGGCTTGGTCACTTCGCACGTGCCACTTTGAACAAAGAACATGTCCAAGCCGATCTCGCCTTTGACAACTATGTAGTCGCCGGGCAGGTACACTTGCAGCTGGAGGCGCATGACAATTTCTTGGACGACCTTTTTGCTGCAGCGCTGAAAGACCGGTACGCTGTTGATCATGTCCATGCGCAGATAGAGCTCGACTTCGACCGACAAGTTGCGCGAGAGCTCTTTTGTGAACAAGAGCGGCTGACCATCGAGCGTGCCATGGCGCTCCCACATGACTTGGTAGTACTCGTTGATGCGGTTTTGGAGGTCGAGCGGGAGCTTCATCAAGTTCATGCTGCCGAGAAGCTTCTCCATCTACAAAATGCATGTTTGTGACATTGTTCATAAGGGGATTGCATCGGGATCGAAGGACCCGAAACCCCAATCTTTAGTGCACAAGGTACCTTTTTTTTGTAGTTGTTTTGGTTTTCGTAGAAATTGGAAATGAGGTTGGCGACGTTGCCAAAGACGGTGGCCATGAGGACGGACCCAATCACAATGAGCATGCACGCGTAGACGTACTCGGTCTGCGTCTGCAGCAGCGAGTTTTGGCCCATGACCGTCGTGAGCACAAAGTAAAAACCAAGTACGTAGGCGGTCGCGTTGTTGCTGCTCTCGCCAAACATGTAGCCCGGCCAGTCGGCGCTCGTCACGTACCCACCCCAGATGCAGTTGAAGATGTGGATGAGGTACACAAAGGTGACGAGGAGCGACCCGAGCCGAATCAAATGCGCGTACCGCGAGTAGAGAAGCCAGCGTTTCCATTCTGCTGGAATCCGCAAAATGCGCAAAATGCGCACAAAGCGCGCAAGGCGAAGGAGCCGCGGGAGCCGCAGCACCTTGAGGAGCCCGAGAAGGTGGAGTTTCGTGTTGGTGGCCCCGGCGATGGTCGAGTAGACAATGATATCGATCGGAAAACACGCCAGTAAATCAAGGATAAACCTAACCACATAGTTGGTACATATTGTCCTGCAAAATATACACTTTTACCAGCCCCGAAGGTAGTGCTTCAAGATGCCGAGACGATGGGTGATGTACGTGTTGGGCCGACCCGGGTGGGCGACCGCGCAGTTGCACGTCAAGAGCAGATCGACACCAAAGATGAGGTTGAAGGCAATGTTGGCATGGTCCTGCGTCGGCGCCGTATCGCTCGTGTCAAACGCGAGCTGGTACGGGATCATGACGCTTTGGTACAAGATGATGACCAGCGTTGACTAGAGACAACCAGATATTTTGTGAGCGTCAAGGGAGAAGACACGTACGAGCTGCCACGCCTTGTACCACTGGTGCGTTGGCAGAATCAAATATTTTGGCTGATGCAGCAAGACAATGTCTTCTGCGGGTTTCTCCTCGGGTCGGACGACGCGGATGTTGTACTGGTGCAAGACCTTTCGGTGCCGCGACGCAATACCCGCGAGCTCCAGCTGCTGCAAATGCTTGGTTTGTCGTCGCCGCATCGAAATGACCTGCGCCTTCTTCTTGAGACGTCCGGCGATCATCGTTGTCTGGATGATGCTCAAATGCTAGCAACATGTCATCATGAGTGATCGCAGCCCTCGTCGACGAGGACCTTGGTGCCGGCGCGGGTTGTCTCGGGGGTCATCTCGCTCGGCACGACCTTGCCACTGCGAATCGAGCCGGTCGTCGAGCCGCGTATCAAGCTCGAGTGCCGTCGCCGGTGGTTTGTCGACCCACTCTCTCGTCGAAGGGTGACGACCCGGTCGGGTGCATCTGGTACGGGCTGGACTCGATGGGACTTGATCTTGTTGTCACTGACAGGCGACGGCTGCTGTGGTCCTCGAATCGACTCGGTCGAGCTATGAAGCGCGTCTTTCGAATGCACCGACCGCAGGAGGTCCTTGAGGTGGGAGCCTTTGAGGTTGGGCGCCTTGAGCAGATCCATGGGCGTAAACCGCCCCGACAGTTGCCGCTTCGAGTTGATCGACTTGTCGAGATAGTGCACTGGTGTCAACGACAACTTGTCCTTGGTCGACTGGCGCACGAGCGCACGGAGTGGCGGCTTGGACTCGACGAGGCTTTCGACGGTCGGGGCCATCGAGGGAAGCTTCTTTGAGGTCATTTGCGCCGCAGTCGGCGCCGCCACGGAACAGCCGCCAAGAATACAAGATTGAAACGGCTCGGGCGCGAAATCGTCTTTTTCAAGTTCAAATTTTGTCACAACCGCGCGAGATTTTCGGCATTGCCAGCAATTCGGTCAACAGGTGGCACGTCGATCGCGCCATGGACAAGTTCGTCGGTGGACACCAGTAGTGGAAGAGACATCTACGCATTAGAGAGAGTCCAACAGGACGTAGTCGAATGAGGCGTGAACGCTCCCAGCGTCATTTAACCCTTGCGACGGCCGGCTCAATTGGCAATTTTGGATCCAAATCACAAAATATCCATTTGCTGAATTCCGCCAATCCTGTCGCTGCTATGCGGGATGCTACGATTTCATTGGATAAAATGCAGACTGCTGATTACGGCGATGCAGCAGCCACTTCCCTTAGTACTACTGCAGCAGCATGCCACGACCAAGCGTCCTGGCGCTGGTCGTCGCCGCCCTCCTCGCATGGGCCTGCGCGCAGCCACCGCCTTGTCCGTACGATGACCTGCCGCCCAGCGTGCGCTACATCCTCGTCGCCGGGCCCATGTGCTCGCCCAATGTGACGTTTTGCGCTGTCGACACGGCGTGCAACGTGAGCTGGGTCGGCGCCACGCGGGCGTCGGTCCGTGGCGCCCAGGCCATCGGGTCGCTGCTGCCCTTTACCGGCGACTCCATGTACGTCGACTTGTGTGCGGCCACTGTCGATGCTCAGGATGGCTGCTTCTAGGTCCATTACGGGCTCGACCATCATGCGCCTCGATCACATGCAGCTTTCGCCGCGCCTCCGCAAGCTGTAGACCGATCTGCCGCATAAGCGAGTGTGACCGCGTGTCTCTTTAGGGAGTTTATCGATACGAACGTCGAGATTCCGGCGTCCTTGCAATGGTCCCGCAACGTCACGACCCTGTCAGTGCGTCGTCGCCTCGCTTGTCTCTCATACCTGCCACATAGGTCGTTTACAAATGTGAGCATGAGTGTGATTCCCGCCAACTTGCCCAAGAGCCTCACGTCGCTGTTCGTCTTCGTCCCCCTCGCTCGCATCGACTCATATCGCTTTGTCATGCAGGACGTTTGCCAAGAATCACTTGACGTCGCTCACAAATTTGCCCAAGAACATTACGTCCTTGTACTAGTACAACGATACATGTATCTGAAGCTCATGATGGCGTAGGTCGCTCGTGGGCAACGATCTCACTGAAATTGTCGGTCAAAACTGGACCAAGCTCACCCAACTGTGCGTCTCGAAGCTCTTGCAGATCTGGCAATCGAATCAAATGTACAAATTAGGTCTCTCGGGGGCAACCCACTCACGACCATCGATCGCGTGCGTCTGAGCCGAAACAACCTCCGCCTCTTGTATCCCTTGACGCTGTGTCCCGACGGCTGATGGCGCTTGTGTGTAGTGATTGCGCCGGTTGCAACATTACGGATTTCATTGTCGATGAAAACACTTTTGTCGCGCTCGACCAGCTCACGCCACTCTCAATGCGGTCGTCCGCCTCTGGTATTATCTACTTTGGCTTCAACCTCGATGGCGGCCATATTACGGCCAACGAAACCAACTGCGCGGCGGTGGGTGGCACGGTCCAAGCGCTCTGGACCGCATCCTACGACGACTTGCCGGCCCATTTTTATACGGTTTGCGTCTTACCAACGCGTACATTCCCATTCCATGGGCCGGAACGTCACCAAATAACAACATATCTGCGTAGCGCCGACGCCAGAGCCAACAACGGTCCCGCTGCCGACCACGGAGAGTAGTGGCGTCATCACGATCCCAGTGCAAACCGTGCTCTCCACACCGAGTCCGAGCGAGGCTGTTGTCCCGATGAACAAAACCCAAGGCTTGATCTGTACGTCAGTTCGACCAAACGGACGACGTAGACTGACGTGATAACGTTGTAGCCGTTGCGCTCGTCGGCATCGGCGCGCTCGTGTCGCTCTGTTGCGTTGGGCTTCTCGTGTGTTGCATGCACCGCCGCGACCACCTTCACGAGAGTGAGCTCTGGACGCTCAACCACACGCGGTCGACGCAGAACTCGTATGACACGCTGTCGTCGACGCAGTTCAATACATTGGACCTCTCGGGCATCCTCCTCTACCGCCTCGACAACGCCGCGGTGGTTCCCACGCGTTTACTCGCCTCCGGTGCGTTTGCCGATGTGTATCTCGGCCAGTACAAGGGCGAGCCCGTCGCCATCAAGAAGTTGCTGGGCCACCGCGTCGGGATTACCGAAGTCCAGGGCCTCGTCGACGAAATCAAGCTCATGGCGAGGTTTGTCGATTTGTTTTGATTTTTCTGATTTTTTTTCTGATTTTTCTGATTTTCAGACTGTCTTTTCTGGTGTGCGTTGTTGAACTCATGCACGTCCTCTCTGTGTAGCTTTGACTGCCCGTATATTGTCAAGTGCCTCGGCGCGTGCTGGGACCAGCCGTCCGATATGAAGTGCGTGCTCGAGTTTATGGGCGGCGGCGACCTCCGCGACTACCTCCAGCGCTACTCGCCCGCCGAGTACACGTGGCCGGCCAAGGTCGCGACCATGTACTGCGTGGTCGAGGCGCTCATGTACCTGCACTCGCTGCCCGTGATCCATCGGGACCTCAAGTCCCGCAATGTGCTCTTGGACGACGTGAAAGGCGCCAAGCTCACCGACTTTGGCGTCTCCAAGGAAGACACACAGGCGACGATGACGGTGGGCGTCGGTACGTACCGCTGGATGGCGCCCGAGATCCTCCAGTTCAACCACTACACGACGGCCGCCGACATTTACTCGTTTGGGATGCTCCTCTCCGAGTTTGATACACACGACATTCCATACGCCAACATGAAGAACGAAAAGAGTGGCAAGCCGCTCATCGACACGGCCATCATGGGCATGGTGATTGCGGGCTCGGTCAAGCCCACCTTTAGCGACGAGATGCCCGAGTGGCTCCGGACGCTCGCGCTCCAGTGCATTGAGACCGAGCCGGAGAACCGCCCGACCGCCATGTACCTCGCAGCCGTGCTCCGGAAGCGGCTCAAGACGATGACAGAGTAGTTGGCAACTAAAATCCTACTGCGTCGCGGATTGCCCAGCGTTTGTTGAGAGTTGGGACACGTGCACATTGAAAAAATAGGGCGCTTGGGATCGCGCTACTGTATGCTGACAGTAGTAGTACTAGTACTCTGCTTATTTGGCTGGTGACAATGGTGGTTGATCCGGGGCCGTCTTGCGCCCCGCGTCGCCCTACACGGCGTACTCTCATCGATGCCATCCACCTCACCGGCGTCGTCCGCTTCACAAGCACCACCCACGCTACCCGCATCGATCCGAAAAGAGTCGCAGCGGCCGCATCGTTGTCCGGTGCGGGACCGTTTGAATTCGTACGTTGACGCATTTTCCCAGGCGATTGGCTCTGGATCGCTGTCGGTGCTGTTGTCCTTGCCGTCGTCAGTGGCTCCATCGGCGGCGTCGAAGTCACCGCAACTAGCCCCACACGGTACAATCCTCAGCGCCAGTCGTCCACCGCACCAGCGCCCAGAAACAAGACACGCTTTTGACCTCTCGTCAATAGCACTCGACCGCCTCGAGTCGCATGCCGGGGTATTTACACAGCGGCTGGCGTCGGGCGCCATGGGCGACGTGTATCTCGGATTGTGCCAAGGCAGTGGCTTCGCGTTGACCCGCAAAGTCGCTCGAGTGCGATTGCGCTGTGGACGATGCTAATGCACCTGCAGCGTGCCACGTAACACAAGTGATTTGGCTGGCAAGTGGTAACTTGAAAGAGTCAAGTAGCCTCTACGAGGTAGGAGTTCGTCGCCTAGTTGGACATTACTAGGGAGCGTGAGGTCTATACCCTTGGTCTGCCGGTCTCCGACTATACGTTTTGTATCGAGTTGAAGGACACGGTCGATTTGCCGTCAGCGACTCTACGCTTTGGGATCGCACACGCGGAGAGCTTACAGGCTTGATAAATTGATACGAGCGCACACGGACTCTGGTACCTGTAACAATGCATTTAATGTCAAATGCGTTGTCAGAGGTGCCAACGGCGGCTTGTGATTTGCAAAAACTCGTCCCGCGAGTTGATTGGTCAAAAAGGCGAATTATCACAGTTTAAAACGAAGGAAGCGACGACGACGAGATGGCAGCGCGCGTCTTGCGGCTTGTCCTCCTGCTGCATGTAGCCGTCGCCGCGTCCAGCAAGGTGGGCGACGTCGAGGTCGAAGACTTCAGCTTTGGGCGAGGTACTGCAATGCATGGCGGCAAGCACCTATCGTGGGCGAAGCGCTGACCATCGACGCCATCATACTAGGCACTGTTCGCTCCACGACAACCAACATTGAGATCACGACGATCGAGATTACAGGCAGCGAGCTCAAGGACCACCGCTTCTCACACAAGGTGAGAACGCCCGACCCGCCGCCAGCGTCCGCCACGCCGCCAGCAGCAGGTACATTTGCCTCGTCTCGTCGCAAGGGTTGCATGAGTGAAGATGTAGTCGAGCCCGATGCAGCAGCATTGTCAGCACACGACAAAATAGAGCGCAGCCTCGAGGCAATGTCCAAAGACGCCAACGACCATATCGATCGTGTCGAGATTTTGACGCCCGAGCAAATGCACCGTGTGTCCATGGCTGTTCTTAGCGCGCTTCTGCTCGGTGGCGCGCTCGTTGCCATCGCAATGTGGTTCCAACAGCAGCGCCAAACGCAGTTCGCTCTCGCCTGGCTCGCGCACGAGACCAGCCGTGACGCCATTGCGGCTGCGATGACCGGCGCGTCGGTCGAGTTTCAAGACGCCGCAGCGCTCCGCTTGCGACTGCTGGACTTTCAACATCAAGTCGACAAGCTTGTCGCAGCTGCCATGGCGACGACCTTTGACGACGGCTTGTGCACGTTCTCGTCGACCTCGGGCTCCCTCGGCGAGCTCTTGGCGTCGATGCAAGCAGGTCTCTGCGAAGTCAAGGCATTCACTGCCGAAGTCGAGTCGCCCGCCGATCGTGCCCTATGTGCGGCATGGCACACGGCCTTGACGTCGCATCTCGAGACGGTAGAATACCCATTCGTGTCCTGCACCGTGAATGATGTTGTTGTGACTAGCTGGGCCGCCTGCAAGCACGCATCCAGCGGACGCTCCACTCGCTCTTGGCATCGGACAACCATCGTATGCAGTGGTCGATGGACGAGCTGGAGCGTCTCTGGCAGCTCTGGAACAGCCTCGGCCTCGACGACGAGGACACGACATGGTATACGACCGCCCGCAAGGAGCTCGAAGCCCGAGCGAGCTGCGTCTCCAATCTTGAGTCACTCCTCGCCGCATTCGCAACGTCACCTGCGCTGTCGGACGACCTGCGCGAGATGCAAGAGCTCGTCGCGACAGCCCAGCGGCACAAGTGGGTCCACGAGGTCATTGCCCGTAGCGAGCGGTTCGTACAAGACACGAGCGACGAGAATGACGCACAGCTCGTCACGACGACGCACTCGTATCAAGTGTCGCGGGTTGAGCGCGAGCTCGCGGCGTTTCGCGACCACCGGGATGAGCGCATCCAGGAGTACGTGGTTCGAGATCACATGGCGCATGACGTGGCCGTGCGGCACCTTGAGCGAATGATGTTTGACTACGCGCTGCACTTGCACAACCTCGAACACGACCACCGGCTTGAGACCCAGCGCCTAGTCGAGGTACTGTGTCCACGTGTTGTTGCATTCTTGATGTAAAACTATGTCCTGTAGCAACGACGCTTGCACCAAGAAGTGCTCGCCCAGCGGCAACGCCAAGCGACAGAAGCAGCCCAACACCAGTGCGAACGCGACCGCATCAAGTATGCCGCCAAACTAGAAGCCGCCGAGAAGAAAAAAGGTACATTTTGTGTTATGCATCGACGTTTGATGCGACAATTGTGGTCTAGCGGATCGAGAAGCCGAACGACAAAGGAAGCGAGAAGAGAAGCGCCAGGACGAACGCGCCAAAGAAAAGGCGCAGCTGCTGCGGGATCGATCTGTGGCCGAGTGGCGACACGTGGAGCGCTGGGCGCGCTGGAACGGCTGCCTCCTCTTGCTCTTGCTCGCCATGATCTTTTGGGAAGTCGTGTCGACGAGCGGCGTGTACTTCTCGCCGGCCTGCGACAACGATGCATCGTACTGGTCGCCGTTCTCGACCACGTCGCGGTACGTCTCCATGTAGAACCCTCTCGAGGTAAAGCTCATAGTACGTTTAGCTGGAGCTGCCAACTCGTGTACGGTCTCAAGGTGGCCGGTGGTCTCATTGGCATTCTTGCGGCGCTCACGGGATTTGCGTACTTGAACTTGCCGTCGCTCGGGCTCGGGCTGCTCTGCTCCCTTGCTCTCTACGTGTTTCGGTACGGTGCGGATAGGGTTACCGCCGGTTTCTAACGAATGGACTAGGCAAGTGTGGCGGGAGATGCTCGTCCATTGGCGATATATGCTCGGGCTCGCACTCGGGCATTACGTTGTCGGTCTCGCGCTCGGCCGAGGTCGGTTGCCGCGTGGTTGTGAGTTTTATACGGAATATGCTGTGTAGACCGGCGGCTGGCGTGGCGGATCGGCGGCTACAACGTCCGTCCGCTGCTTGTTTATTTGATCTATCCGCTGGTGTCGTGTGCCCTGACGATCGCAGTCGGCGTTGCATCGTGTCCGCTGCCCGATGTATGCTTGGACCGAAGTCTCTTTTTGGTCCAACTGCTGTTATAAAATGTGCAATTACGAGAGAGATAGGGGCA